CCAATGCAAAGTCCTCATGAGTTTAGAAGAACAAACGTGTGTGTGTGTGTGTGCCGTATTGATTGTGGAAACTCCAGCTGAACATAAGAGTAAGTTCAGTGTTCCTTCAGATTTTCATGCTCAGACTGTCTGAGGCACGTCAGCGTGCTGAACCACTGCTTTCTGAGAAGAGTCTAAGCTTGTTGTGGAGCAGCTCTGTAAGCTCAGACTGCTGAGTGTTTCCGGTCAGTCTGCTGGGATTAGAGTCTTAAATCTGCGGGGATGTGTGTGTGTGTGTGTGGGGGGGGGGGGGGGTGTGTGTGTGTGTGTGTGTGTGTGTGTGTAGAGCATCTAAAAAAATATTCATTTAGTTTAGCCGTCAACATTTTTGCTTTCCTTTCTGTCGTTGGACTCTGTGTTTGAGGCTTAAGTTTATTTATAGAAGGAAATCAGCTTTCAGAGTTAAATTTACACTTTCTTTCTGTTCATCCCTGTTTAGATAAATTGCGGAGGAGCATGCCTAATCTAGTCAGAGCTCCCAGCCTTCCCAGTGTGCCCATTCCCAGTGCTTCATTTGCTTCACATGCTTTGCTTCGTAACAGCCAGAGTTTTGACTCGTCCAGCGGACTGTCACGCCTGCAGTCCTCCAGTAAGACTCCCATTTACAGATTTCACTTTTATCCTGAAAATAACGTCCGTTTAATGTCACCGCCTCCCACTTGTCAGTCTCGCCTCCAGGCCAGCTTCAGCACAGGGTCCAGAGCGTGGGGAACTTCACTTCGTTGTCGCGGCAGCCGCTAAAGGCCACCGCCTACGTCAGCCCCACCATCAAGGGCTCCAGCTCCACCAGCCTGCAGTCCCTGAATGGCAGCAGCAACAGCGGGATCCCCCTCTTTAGTAAAGCTGCGGCCGCAGGCTCCGYCTCCACCCTGACCACGACTCGCAGCAGCCTGCCACGCCCTGCCTCCTTCGTGGGCACCGCAAGCTCCGCCCCCCGCAGCAAGCTCGCTCCACCGGCACGAAGGTAAAGCCGAGTTAGACATTTTCTGCGATGTGACAAAAACAAACTATAAAATAACGAAAATTTTGTTTTAGTTTTTGGTTTTAAAGTGCCTGTGACGTCAAATTTTCGTAATACATATGAATTCATTATTTGAAAGATGACATTGACAAAATATTGCAAAATAAATTTCATGTCGCTGAGACGAACAGTTGTTGAGATATTTGCATGTGAAGTAACAGGAAGTGATGTCAAAGGGGAATGTCTGCATATGAACAGATTAGTGCTACAACAGCTAACAACACAGACTGTAGAGAAGAATCTGATGTTTCTTTAGATTATTTTAAGTCACCATCAGTGAGATGAAGAAGAGTCAGAGTTCAGATATAACTGTTTCAATAAACAAAGACCAGAGAGTTTTCTTTGCTAAAGAGTTCCCCTTTTGATGTCACTTCCTGTTTCACTTTGGCTGAGCCAAGTTCAAAAGAAAAGATGCCAGTTATGGGACAAAATGGGTAAAATTGTGTTTTTTTTTTCAAACTTCCTTAAATACAAAGCTGTTTTCTTTGACTTTTTGTATTTGAAGAATACGCATGTCACAGGAACTTTAAGGTTTTACTATGGTGACGTTTTTGCAAACACAAACTTTTATCATGATCTAAATGTAGGTAATTTTTTCTCTGCCGCTTTCCTCCTTAATCCCTTCAGAGTTAGCACATTCAAACCCATTGACTTCCATTATTTTGTCTGAGCGCTGAGTTTTGTGTTCAGAACAGGAAGTAAAGAGTAACTTGTCATTATTCTGTAACCCAGATTATTGTTATTATTTAACTAAAGACTTGTCTTGTTTATTTCCAGTTTACTGACCCCTCCGAAGAGCTTGTCCACCTTCAGCGCCCTCCGAGACGGTGCCTGGAGAGACGGCTGCTACTGATGGCTGGTGGGGGGGGTGGGTACGTGTAGCGACGCCCTGCTGGCTGGGGTGGACTCGCTGCGTCTCAACATCAAAGCAGACACTTGGAACGGGTTTTGATCAAATCAAAAAGACTGAGCTCCTGCGTAGAGTAGGTCAGAGCTGCTCTTTCCGATTCTACGCCGAGTTCCTTCGGAGAAGGCGGGTACATTTTTTGTCTTGAACCTGTGTCTAACGACGGCTTCAGCCGGTGAGTTTACGGTGCCAAAAGCGAGCCGTTTCCTGTCGTGCAATAAAACCGCTGGCTCTTGGTTTCCTGCGATATCAACCAACAATGAGGGCTGCCAGTTTTTAATCCAACAAATCACTGTTTTAATGTCTAGATTTTAAAGAAACGTCAACCAATCAGGTGGGTTCGCTGTGATAACGAGCGCCAGTGATGCTGCTAAAGTTTAATTGTTCCCCTCGTATGTTGGGCACATTTTTCTGTGTAAATTTCACTATAATTCTAATGAACTGATGCACTATTTAACCAAAATGGGACTATCTGAACGTGTCACCAGACTAACTGTTCTCGCTGCACTTTTTAGAAATCTAAATTTCTGTTTACTGTTTTTTGCACTTTTTTCACAATTATTTATAAAAATAACACACAACTGTTATTTTGTTGTTGTTTGGCATTTGTACACATTTTCATGTAACACCTGTTCTTGCAAATGTTTGTTTGTTTTTATGAACACTAAAGGTCTTTCAAGATTTTGACTTTTTTTTGTTACTGCGATGAAATGAAAGCATTTTAATAAAGTTGACTAAATTCAGTCCTTTGCCTTTTTAAAATTGAGCGTCTAGAAAAGTTTTCTGAGTGGAATCAGACGCCATCTGGTGGTCAGATTTCTAACGAAGCCGCAGAACTCATTTTTACAAACTAAGATTTTAACGAGATAAAACAATGTAATTTATTTAATTTGTGCAGATTAAACAAACCTTAATTGGAAATGATATTTTTTATTTCACTGATGTCCAGTGAAACCATAAATCCTACTTCAATTCATGTGGTGTGTGTGTGGAGCTCAATCCGTGGCTAAAATGTGTATTTTTCTGATTTTATAGCATTGGAAGTAACGAAAATATGCTTTTTGAATAACATTTTTTATTGGGTATACACTGGATTATGTTTTTTTAAATACAGAGATTACAGCAAAAAAATAAAATTAGTTAAAAACAGCTAAAGCTCAAAGGAAAAAAAATCAGACAGGCTGAAAAATGTTTGCTTTTTAATCACAACTGTCAAATATTACAGTAATAGGATGATATAAATCAAACTTTATTGGCAGACTTTATGTCCATATTTACAGTAAAACAAACAGGACTTTTAAAGATACATTAAAAAATAAATGTATTCTTAAAACCCTTAAACAGAGATCTATTCATACACAAACACTTGAACCAGTGTGTTCTCAGGCTGGATAAGTAACGGTAACTACTCACTGCTGGGTCTGTGAGCACTGACATTATACTGTTACCAGATCATCCAGTCATTCTTGTCAATGTGGTAAAATCTAGGTTGGAAACTCCCTGTTAAAAACCCTGTAATACCTGGCTGTTTAATAATAAGCTTATCACAAAAAAGTAAAGTCAGTGCATAGGAAAAGAGGAACTGAGACAAAGAAATGTCTTGTGTAAGAAGCCATGGCCACAGGGTGGAGAATTTCCAGCAAACCAACGAGCAGAAGTGAATCAATCAGAACCAGAACCTGCAGAGCAGAACCATGTCTTAACAAATCAAAGATTTACATTTATAATTAATCTGAATCAAACAGAATCATGTTTTAACCAGTTAAAATTTTAACAAACATAAAAGTATAATCAAGCTGTCACTGATATGTGATTATTTGTGATTGTTGAAAAAGAGTTATTAATACTCAAGAGTGTTTAATGATTTAAAAAGGCATTGTTTAATAAAACTAAATGATGGTGCTTTGATCATTGATTTTGTCAATCTGTGTAATGATTAAATGTTGAAGAAGTAATAACATCTGCAATGTATTAATAACAAAGACAGATTGAAGAGTAAGTGGTTGTTTGGAAGGAATTAAATGTTAATTATAAGAAATCATTGTTTTAGGGGTAAAAACGGATCAAATGTTTTAATAAATGTGTTAAAAGGTGTAAAGATGGGCGGTGGCATAGAAAAACAGCAAACAATTGTTTCAGATAACTGGGGGACTTGGTGGAAGCATGTGATTGATTGAAAACCTTGCTGGGACAGTTCCAAAGGTTATAAAAAAAGGTCTAAGCAGGAAATCAGGACTCCTCCTCTGCTCTGGCCAAGCACTGAGATCTGAGGGGGTTCCTGCTGATCGTTTGGACCTGTGAAGGATTCGTTTTAGATGCACAGAAGGAGAGCAGAATRTACAGCAGTGGTGTGTCTGCACTGAAWATTGAGTTTTTCTCAGCAACTTTAGCCGTTGAGCACTAAGGAGGAAGATCCATTGCCCAATTCCTGCTGTCAACTCAAGGCTGACATCCAGCAGCACCTTGCTTTCAACCAACACTGGTCTATGCGACCCTTCACCTAAAATTATTTCATTATTTTTATTAATTTACAGCAGATTGCTTAGGGAAAAGATGGGGTTAATTCCAAGAATTATTGTGATCTTTTTATTATGTGTTGTTAATTATTAACTGCTGTTACTCGCTGCATTGCAAATTAATAAATTTAAGCAACTAGAAAATTCTAAAAGCCAGCATGGACGTYCAATTTTTGGTTTTCACAATTTTCATGCTCCTCATGGGTGTTAAATTAATAAAGTTCTGAGTTCATGTAAATCAATGTGGTTAATCTAACAGGCTGCCTCAGTATTTAAGTAACTATTAAAATAATATCCCTGGAGTTTACATCTGAACTCCTAAAATAATCTACTCATTCAGCAACAAAAGCCATTATCCCACTAGGAGAGAGCTACCGTTAATTTAGGGTCTCTGGGGTACAATTCTCTGGCCTGGCTGTTAGAATGCTGTTTTAACTAAGTACAAATACTTTGTTACTTTACTTAAGTAGTAATTTTGGTTATTTATACTTTAGTGGAGTACCGTAATTATTTTTCAGCCTACTTTTTACTTCTACTTCTTACGTTTTAATTCAATTATCTCTACTTTCTACTCCTTACTTTTTAAAAATGCAAAAAGTATTTCATTTCTATTTAACGTTGACTTATTTTTATTCCATCTTTTCATTGTTCAGAAAAAAATTAATAAATATAAATCTATCCAGATACATGGAGCCCATGGATAGAGTGATGATTGTGGTTGATGAGAAGCATAAATATATACCATTCTGACATCCTATTGGATTGAACTCACTCCATCACACCTGTGTGACACAAATCACATCACACTTCAGCAGGACAGACTGTGGCAC